GTTGGCGAATGCAAATTTGAAATGCCTAACTTGTGAAGAAGAAGTTGAAATTGGTCTCCTCCAAAAGCCTTTGTGAATATATCTACAGGTTGAGATTTGAAGGGAATATGAGGAGTGATTGCACATGGCTGTATCCAATAATGAATTAAAAGTAAAAAAAAAATCAATAATTAAAAGTCCAAAGTAAAAAATAATTAGCAATTACCATAATTAGTAGTTGCAAAAGAAAGAAATCTAAGAGGTCATTTAATTGTTAAAAGTTTAAAGTTTTAAATTAGAGATTTTATGTTTTAATTTTGAGTCAAATAAGAAAGAATTTGAGAAAAAAGGAAAACTAATTTCTTTTCATATAATCCATCATCATCATATATACTAGAAAAAAAGTAATTGAAAAAGAAGAAAACAAGTAATTGAAAAAGAATAACTTGATTAAATGAAAAAGTGTTAGAACAATCAAGTTATACTTTGAATTGGGAGAAAAAATGGTGGATTTAGGGAATAAATTATGAAGTAATTGACAAAAAAGTTTAGATTTGTCCTTTTTACCTAATAATTAACATGTATATTATAATTTGTGATTTTATAGTTAAATCCAAAGAAAATTTTTAATATTTTAGGGGGGCTTGGGGCCTCAAGCCCTAACCCAACCCCCTCACTTAAGGGTTTTATTCCTTATGATATCTGTATCTTTCCAATAATATCTCCAAATTTTATAGTTTCCAAGTATTATACTCCTAATTGTTGTAGAATGTATGATCTTGAATTGCTACATGTTAAAAATTTGTTAATTTGTAAAGATTTCTTAATTTTCCCACTTCATTTAAAGCCTCTTGATAATTTGTATTTTGAGTGAAATAGATTTACCCATTCAAACTAATACTTAATCTTTAAAACTTTTAAATTTGTTTTAACAATTCTTCTTGATTTTGGATCAAGAAAATTGTATGATGATGAATACTTTGAGCAAAAGGATCTGAATCTCTTTTATTAAAATGTTGTAAATTTGCTATATTAATTTTGTTTTTCATAAATTCAATCCATTTATTACAAAAAAAAAAAAAAATCACATGCTAAAACTCTCAAATTTAAATTCTAATACAATTGGAAAGAGATTTAGAAATTCGGAAGCTATTTCCTCTCCCCCTGATGTTCCACAATTGATTATGCCATTATATCAAATCCAAGGCCAGAAGGCCTACATACAAGTGTGCTTCCCCAAGCTAACGGGTTTCATTGGTGGCTGTAATGTCTGCCTGCCCAGAGCCACACAGCGGGTAAACCATACATTGCCAGTTACGTAGTTTTGAGAAAGTTGAAGCCCTCTACATATTACCATAAATGCACTC